TGCACAATGCATGATTATGTTTCTGATCAGACTTACTTATAACCCACTGATCGTTTGTATTTGTTGCTGTAACTACGACTCTAGCCTTACATCTTGTTCTTGTGACTGGCGTATGAGCACGTTGACGATCAACAGTATTGACTTTTGATACTCGAAACCCTTCTTTGGAACAACAAAATTCTTGTGTCTTCACATTCCCTTCCACGTCAAGCCGTGTTGTTCCCTTACGTGCACTAAACCCATGTTCCCGTGCGAATCCCTTGTAAAAGTGCCAAGCTTGATCACGTGAACAGAAGAGCTGACCAACCAATCTGTCAGATTCATCAACATTATGTACTTCATGGCATTCCTCGGTTGGCTTAACATTGTCTACATCAGTATTATCCATGGCAAAAATTTTGTTGTGCAAGTTCAGTGCTCCAGGAGTTGATGGATATGTAAACGAAGGTTCATTTTGAACATGTTTCTGTCGTGCTGCTTTCAATAGGATGTGGCATTGGTAGTGGTAGTTAAAGGGTGTGTACAACATTAAATTCGCAGTACATATTTAGGTATGTACAATAACTACAAGTATTATCATTTTAAATTCGCAGTACACTGTTAAAAAATTGAAACATAAATTACATAAGTTTTAAAAAAAGTATCGATCCTTTTTATAAAAGTATGGACACTTTCAATATAATAGGTAAACATATGATGTAATAGGTAGCCCTTATATAATGTAATAGGTATCGTTTATATAATGTAATAGGTAGTGGTTATATTGTAAAGTGTCTATCCTTTTTATAAAAGTGTTCATACTTTTTTCACTGTGGAAAACATTAATTTAAGGTTATCTTTTGAGTGAGTTTTAAGATATTAATTTAGTAATTATAGGCGTCTAATGATTTATTTTTTACGTTACGGTATATATTATTAAATTAAAAATTCTAAATAATATTTTATAAAATATAAAAACAATCAAATAATTTTTTGTGCAAATGAAATTATTAAATCAATATTGTAGGTGGAAAACATGAAATACTGTTAAAAAATTGAAACATAAATTACATACTTTTAAAAAAAGTATCGATCCTTTTTATAAAAAGTATGGACACTTTCAATATAATAGGTAAACATATGATGTAATAGGTAGCCCTTATATAATGTAATAGGTATCGTTTATATAATGTAATAGGTAGTGGTTATATTGTAAAGTGTCTATCCTTTTTATAAAGTGTCCATACTTTTTCACTGTGGAAAACATTAATTTAAGGTTATCTTTTGAGTGAGTTTTAAGATATTAATTTAGTAATTATAGGCGTATAATGATTTATTTTTTACGTTACGATATATATTATTAAATTAAAAATTCTAAATATTATTTCATAAAATATCAAAACAATCAAATAATTTTTTGTGCAAATGAAATTATTAAATCAAATAATTCAAATTGAAAATTAAACAAAAAATCAATTAAACATTGTTGTGGGTACATTAATTGAACATTGTTATGGGTACATTATTTGGATTAATTTCGTTGAGATGGGTTATGTATAACAAAACAATTTATCTCGCATGTGAGTACTTTATTCCAACCATGTGACAAGTGTGACAACTCCATCAACTCACAACTCAGCTTTGAACTCAATCAATATTGTCTTTTAGCTTGATGGTTCATAAAGCATGTTACTTGAACAGTATGAATCAATTATGCAATTTTCATGTTCAATTTAACACTGCATTTCAAATTCATTTCATATGTAATTGGAGTTTGAATTTAAATTTCAATTTGAGTTTGAATTTCAATATATATTTCGGCTCCACTATAAATATTAGCCCAAGCCAATATGCATGTTATCATTGATTATTCCTAATTTCCATTGTTTTTTTTCCAACGTATAAACGCGAGGGAAATCCCGACCATTTTATTTTTTGGTCAACTTTAAAGCGTCAGAAACGTTTCGGGCGTATGATCTGGGTGGTATACAAGAAATGTAACAAATAGCAACTAAAACCATAAGTTGAGTACCACCCAAATCATAAGTCTGAAATACTTCCGATGCTCATCAAAATCCAAAGCTCATATGGTGCCAAGCAAAAGGAAATCAAAATCCAAATCTCATATGATGCCAAGCAAAAGGAAATCAAAATCTACAACTTGAGTTTGAACATTGATATGATATGTTCAGTTGTTATCATGTTGGGATTTTCTCGTTTTTGATTGCTTGGATAGTTGTTCTCTTGCTTCTTCAAGTGTTCTTAAGGTTATCCTTTGAGTGAGTTTTAAGATATTAATTTAGTAATTATAGGCGTCTAATGATTTATTTCTTACGTTACGATATATATTATTATTAAATTAAAAATTCTAAATATTATTTTATAAAATATAAAAACAATCAAATAATTTTTTGTGCAAATGAAATTATTAAATTAATATTGTAGGTGGAAAACATGAAACACTGTTAAAAAAATTGAAACATAAATTACATAAGTTTTAAAAAAAGTATCGATCCTTTTATAAAAAGTATGGACACTTTCAATATAATAGGTAAACATATGATGTAATAGGTAGCCCTTATATAATGTAATAGGTATCGTTTATATAATGTAATAGGTAGTGGTTATATTGTAAAGTGTCTATCCTTTTTATAAAAGTGTCCATACTTTTTTCACTGTGGAAAACATTAATTTAAGGTTATCTTTGAGTGAGTTTTAAGATATTAATTTAGTAATTATAGGCGTCTAATGATTTATTTTTTACGTTACGATATATATATTATTAAATTAAAAATTCTAAATATTATTTTATAAAATATCAAAACAATCAAATAATTTTTGTGCAAATGAAATTATTAAATTAATATTGTAGTTGGAAAACATGAAACACTGTTAAAGTATCGATCCTTTTTATAAAAAGTATGGACACTTTCAATATAATATAATGTAATAGGTAAATTTGCAATGCTATCGGTATAAATATACCGGTTTACTTATAAAATAGGTAAATATAAGCGCTACCTATTACATTATATAAGCGCTACCTAGTATGTTATTGTACTTTATAATATTTCCGGTTAAATAATATAACATAACCGGTCTAAATTTTAACCGGTCACTTGTTTAACCGGTCACGCCGTATATTAGCCGTTTTTTAGGCGCCGCACCGCAGAACCACCCCTGAAACCCACATATTTTCTGGGTTTTAAAGGGAAGAGTAGAGCTTGGAATAAAGGAAAAAAAAAAGAAAAAATGGCCAGACTCATACCTGTTTTTTGGACAACAAAGAGGGGAAAACATGCTAACAGGATGTTCCAAATTCCAATGGATGATTTTTCAACAAAGAAAGAACAGTGGAAGCTTTCAACAACACATCTACAAGAAGAAGAAAAAATAAGCTTTTTGATGAAAATCACAAACGAAAAATAAACATGGGAGTCCAATTTTTTGAATTTGTTGTGTATCTCTACCTCCCTTATCTCACGCAGAGATAGAAGAAGAAGAGGCTTGGGGATTTAATAATTTTTATTTTATTTATGTTTTAGATTTAAATATTTTTTACTTTTAATTTTTTGGGTTTGGACCAAAAGAAATTCCAATAAATTAATAAGATTTGGGTTACATGTTATAGGTTTTGTTTTTTGTTGGGTTTGTGAATTTTAAATTTTAATATGTTGTTTTTGGTAAGTGAATTATAATAGATAATTTTATGGGTTAATTTTTTTAAATGATTATGATTTATTTTAAGAGATTGAATGTTGAATTTAAATTTATACACTTAAATTATTTTTATTATTTATTATTTTATGCAATAAACTTACTTTTCTTCACTGTTAGTAAATGTTTATTATATTTTGTATTATATTATTGATAATAGAAGTAATGAATTGTTTTATATTTATAAATTCTAATTTTATTTTTATGTTTCTTCTATAATATTTTTAAGAAATTTATAAATAAATATAAGAATAATTAAAGATGGTAAAAATTATGCTCATGTATTAATAAAAGTTTTTAGAAGTTCATAAGTGTTAAAAAACACTCTAAATATCATTAAAATTGATTTTTTTATAATTATAATTATAATTTATTATATTTTGTAATAAGTTCTGCGAATTAAAAAAATTCACGTCCGCGACACCCGCAGTGACTGCGATAGCATCCGTTACTTCCGTGACCGCGATAAACGCAACGCAACCAAAAATACGGCCGCGACCGCGATTTGAATACCTGTCCAGGCATAAAACTGACTTTGATTGTTTGATATCGAATTTGATAGGAAGGGTTTCAGTCTGTTCGCTAATGTTTTAGTAACCACTTTGTAAATCACAGAGCAAAGGCTTATTGGCCGAAATTGACTCAGATGTTCTGGCGAATTCACTTTTGGAAGTAGTACCAAAACTGTTCGATTCAGGTTTTCATCCATGGGTGTTCCGTCAAATAAGTTTTTCACGTACTTGCATATGCTTCCCCCCACAAACTTCCAATTTTTCTGGTACAATCCCGCACGAATACCATCTGCTCCTGGAGCTTTCTATGGATTCATCTAGAACACGACCTTACGTATTTCTTCCTCGGATATCGGTTTGAGAATCTCTGTAATTATTTCTTGATTCGGCTGATTAAATTCTCCTCTCACTTCATAGTCTGCAGAGTTAGCGTTGGAGCTTTTAAACAAGAGTTGATAAAATTCCACCGCCATTTTTTTCAATAGATTCTGATCAAAGCACCATTTTCCTGTTTGGTCTTTCAATGCTAAGATTGAGTTTCTTCGCGTCTTTGAATCGTGGCAGCATGGAAGTATTCGTATTCTTGTTGCCCTTTAGGATCCATTTGCACCTTGCCTTTTGGAACCATAACGATTCTTCCTGTTTGAGTAACTCTTCCAACTCTATCTTTAATTGCCTTTTCAAATCAACTAAGAAATCAGAATGAGATCTGTTTAGTGATTTATCAATGCCGCGTAACCTTGCTAAAATCTGGGTTTTCTTCCTTCCGATATGGTCAAACGTGTCTCGATTTCAATCCTCTAATTTCTTCTTGAAAATCTCCACGTTCATGAGTAAGTCGTTGTTATTATCCCAGTTTTCAGCTAGGAATTCCGTGAATTGAGGATGTTCTAACCATGCTGCCAAGAATCGGAATGGTCTGTCTTTGTTTTCTGTCATTTGGGTTTTCGTTTGGAGATAAATTGGGCGATGATCCGATCCGATTTTATCAAGGTAGATGGTTACAGAATCTGGGTAGAGTTTGCTCCAACCTTCGTTGATTAGAAATCTGTCTAATCTCTGGTACAAATTGCCTCTACTCCAAGTGAATTCGGGACATATGAAATTAACGTCTTGAACTCCGGCATCAAACACGAAGTCCTCAAAAGATTTATTAATCCTCAGTATCCTGTTGAAATCTCCTCCTAGGACCCAAGCGTCCTTGTTACCTGGATCAAGTTGGAGAATTTTTTCCCCATAGTAGCTTTCTTTTACTCACGTTCAGACTTGCTTCGATTTATCGTCCTTAATCCGACCATGAATAAACTGATTCGACACTCTAAAGATTTCTACTTCTGTATCTTCTTTCCAGCGAATCCATATTCCGCCGCTAAAACCTTGCGCTTCGACTCTAAACGAGTTTTCGAACCCAAGATTGTTAATGGTTTTGTCGGCCTGTTCACCACTTATCCTAGTCTCCAGGATAGCAATTGCTTGCTGTTTGTGCTTGTGAATCATTTCCTTGAGAATTCTCCGAAATAACGGTTTTGCTGCCCCTTGGCAATTCCACATTAATATATTAACCATTATTAAGAAATCGTTTGAGTATTTCTACCCTTACTGCAGTGTTTGAAGATTTCCTTCCTCTTGGACAATTACGTCCACTAAATTTCCAGATTCATCTTCTAATTGTTCGTCTTGTCCCTCTAGATAATTCTCTTTTATCTTGTCAAGGTCACTTGTCGTTTGGGAATTGATGAGAGGATTCGGCTATGTGAGATTGTCCAAGCTTTGAGATAATGAATCCACCCAGCTGATAATCTTCTGTTTGCTTGATGGCTTGGCCTCATTGTTTTTTAGCCTGACATTTTTCTTATTCGTGCGTATTGGACCGCCTGCCACTGATTTGTTCTTGTTTCTTGGTTCGTTCGTCCGAGTCCTGTCACCTTCAATAATGGTTACTGCTGCATGGTTTCCATTCTTAATCTTTGTATTGTGGGTGACTACATCCATCTCTTGGCCTTCATTGATTTGCACTACCTCCACTGCTTTGAAAGTTTGTCCTGGAGAGTTCTGTTCCTGACCTGTATTGATAGGTTTGGCTTTCCATTGCTTCTCGTCATCTTTTGGTTTTATCCCGAAAGTATCTCATGAAGTGCCTTCTTGTTGTCTGGTCCTTTTGTTGACTTTTGCCATTGTGAATTGTTCTTTGATAGGCACTTGTACCTCTTCCATCGTTGTAGCTGCAATTTCCTCTTGTTGTAAGAGACGAAATCTTGAGCCTGAGTTTGTTTTTGTTTCATCGTTCATTTTGTTAACCGGTTTGTTGTCCTTCCTAGGACGTCTCCTTCTGGGTTCCACTATCATCCATGGTCCGACTGTATCTCCTTCTGGGTCCCAAAAAAATTAGCTCTAATAACTCTCACCAAAATAAGGAAAATTGGAGTGTCAAAAGGTTAGAAAAGCAAATACCTCACAAGCTTTTATGCCCAATTTTATTCTATTAATTACGAATAATTTCATTACATCTAATTAATTAAAGTAAGTGTTGCTTTTCCTTAAAGTCATAAGTTTGATCAGTTATATTTTAAAGGGGTACGTGCGTTGTTAATGATTAAGAAAAATTCTAAACACATTACCTTGTAATCACAATTATTAAGAAAAGATTTGTTCACAATGTTTTAAACTTTTTAGTTTTATATCTTTTTAGGATCACTGGATGAATAAAAATAGATTATTTAGATTAACAATAGAAAAATATAATATACTTGCTATAAAAAATAAGAAGATAGTCTCAGTCATCTATCTTCACTCATCAAATTATCATAAAAAAGTAAATGAAAAAAACTAACGGTAGAAAATGAAAAGATATCTACTAAAAAATAAAAATATTTTTATCGGTAGATTTCCTTTCATTCAACAACCATTAAAAAAATATAAAACTAAAAAGTTTACATTGGAAAAATGAATCCTAACCTATATATATATATATATATATATATATATATATATATATATATATATATATTGCATGGTTTTACAAAGAGGCTTTGAGGAAAGTCCATGTGCATATATGTGAAAGCAATTTTCTCGGCTGGTACCAACAACTACTACATGAACCTAACATTTGACCTAGATTGGGTAGACTAAATTTGTTTATGAAATTAGGAAAGTGTCAAAGTTCTTTTTTTTTTTTTTTTTACTTTCATATGATATATATTCAATAACATCAAGGTATAGACCAATAGCCATCACCAGGTTGGACCTTTCCACATAGTTCGGATTTTATTGTGTTTCTTACCCGGAATTCTCTTTTGATTTGTTTCTATAAAATATATTAATCAATGGCAAATTCATTAATGGTTTGAATTACTAGGGTCACCTTGATCCCAAGGCGAAGGTGTTATACAAAGACGACCAGAAAACTAGGCTTAACTAGTAAACAACATGAAAATAATGAAAATATCAAATAAGTTTCTAATAAAAAATAACACTAAATTAAACTATTTGAATTATTGATTACTACTACTAATTATGTAACACTTTAGATCTTATTGAAAAAACTCAATAAATTTAAAATATTACACTCAATCATCAACGCAAAATTTATCTTTAACCATATAAAAGTTCCTATTCATCTCAAAATCAAATGCAAATCATAAATAAAGTCCAAGAATATTTTTCTATTGACATCACATCTGCTTCTTGAGGTCACCATCAGAAAGGACCTTCTCATAAAATAACTATTTTGACGGGTTATCAACTTTGACAAGACCCTTGATAAATCCGGAACTATGGAACAAAGGATTATCCCGGACACCTACACCGAGATATTGACGGTGATTCTCAAATATCGCAGAACAGAATGTGATATGATGAGATAGAATGGCAATAGAAACAAAGACATAGGGAACGGGTTACCTGCTCTTAACAGTCAAAGCAAACTCTTTCATTCTGACATTCTGAATTCTTTAATTCGGAATGAATCAAAATTCGGAATGAATCATATCTCTTCAAGTAGGATTCGAACCTACGACCAATCAATTAACAGCCGACCGCTTTACCGTTGAGTTACTGAGGAACAACGGGAGATTAGATCTCATAGAGTTCAATTCCCGTTCTCTACCCATGACCAATATGAACTCGAAGTTTCCTTCGCAACCCCATGAACTACGAATTAGGATAAAATTCATTGACTGATTACCACTTTTATATACTTTAATAACTTATGAGTAATAATTATGATTGTAAGTATGACACGAACATGCACACAAAATTAACATTATATTAATATCCCAATCTAAATTTGTCAAATTATATACCAAATTCTTCACAACTCGATGTATTTAGGTGTTGAATAAATCTTCATATTGACCCATAACGTGGAAGAAATTGTCATTAGTTCTTCACAAACCCAATCCCATTCAATTACTTCATACTAACTTCTTTACACTAATAAACAATTAATGATTAAACTATTATGTTTGGAAACATGTGGGAGGCGGTGCTTATTTTTTCTTCACTTTCAATGTTGGTTTCACTTTTTGTCCGAATTTGAAATTTATGATGCTTAACGTTGTTTCATTTCATGTCATATTATTATTATTATTATTATTATTATTATTATTATTATTATTATTATTATTATTATTATTATTATTATTATTATTATTATTATTATTATTATTATTTGCTTTAACTAAAAGTGAAAAATATTCGTATTTTTATGAACTCACTTTTCAACCAACCAAAATTGTTTTTGGTAGCTGCTTCCATCTTCCATCACCATGTATTCGTTTTAATCAAAAACAAATTATCATGCCTTGAAATTTGAAAAACAAAAAAAGGAAACTTTTTACTTGTCCATAGTAGTTAAAGGGCGAAAGTAAGAGATAATGTCCTTTTTAGTAGATGTATTTTGAGTAAATATTTAATATAAATATCAATATTTTTAAATCTTTAATGTGATATATGTATTTTAAAAATATTAAATGTATAATATGTATTTTGATAATATATTTAGTATGATACTTCAATTATTATTTTGTATGTTTTTTTTGGATAAATAAAGTTTTATTATCCAAAGGAAGCAAAGTTGCTACAAAAGAACCAATCCAATCAATGGAACAAAAACAAGGGTAACCTATTTACAAACAGAATCATAATATACCCCAATTGTTACATATATCAATATTAGAGCTATCAAATCTATTAATGTTTCTGTTACTTAAGTGAGAACTATCAGTTTGCTTGATAGCTTGAAGTACTTCCCCCTCGGTTTTGTAGGCACCTCTGAATAGCCTATGATTTCTTTCCTCCCAAATTGTGTAGTTGAAAGCACACCAAGAGAGCTTGAGGATGCAAGTGATAAGTGATTTACCTTTCCAAGTTGCAGACGCCCAAATAAGGAAGTTAGACCAGGATAGCTGTGGTTTTTGAATACCTGAAAGAAGAAGAATAGAGTTCCAAATAGAGGCTGACGTTTTGCACTCAGCAAAAAGATGATTCCTTGTTTCCATAGCTTCAGAACATAAGATGCACTGAGTGTTAGTAAGAATTCCAAATCTCTGCAGCCTGTCCTTTGTTGGCAAACGATCCAGAATTATAATCCAAGTGATGATGTTGTGTTTGGGAATATGCAAAGGATACCTGATCAGTTTCTGCCAAGAAACTTTGTTTCTCTTCGATCTAACCTCTTCCCATAAACTTTTGGAACATTTTAATCCTGTAGACAGAATAGGATAAGCAAGCTATCTAAGCTTCATTATTCTCTTAAGAGTCCAGCTAGACTAGGTAGGAATATCCATGGACCAGAACTTTTGTTGCTTGATAATGTATTTATGAGTCCAAGCGACCCATAAAGAACCTTCACCAGCCAACATATTTTTAATATGGATAATTGTGCAGACTTTGTTCCAAGACTTAATGTCCTTAACCCCTAATCCTCCTTCAGACTTTGGCATGCAGATTCGATCCCAACTCACTCTAGCTCCAGAGGCTGGGATATCAGATCCTTTCCAAAAATATCTGGAGGAAATTTGTTCAATCTTATGAATGACAGATTGTGGTAAAATCAGTTGCCTGTACCAGAAATTTGCAACAGAGAAAAGAACAGTCTTAACTAGTTCAATACGACCTGCATAACTAAGTTTCATCCTTGACCATTGGTTAAGTCTGGAATAAATTTTGTCAAGGAGAGGCTGACAGTCTTTGGGAGAAAGCTTCCTTGTTACCAGAGGGATTCCCAAATACCTGACAGGTAGAAGACCATGCTTGAATCCCGAATAAGAAATAATTTTATGAATAACTTGGGCAGAAATTCCAGCAATAAAGATTTCACTCTTAAGGGCATTGAGTTTAAGACCAGAAAGTTCATAGAAAGAGTTAAGGACAGTACTGATACCCAAGACAGACTCAAGCTTACCTTTGCAGAAAATAAGAAGGTCATCTGCAAAAGTTAAGTGTGTAAGGCCAATTTTCTTACACTTTGGGTGAAAGTTGAAAATCCCTTTGGCAGCTGTAGTATTGAGCATTTTAGATAGGACATTCATAACCAACACAAACAATAGAGGGGATAAAGGGTCACCTTGTCTAAGACCTTTAGCACCCTTGGAAAATCCAATCAGACTTCTATTAAAAGCAATGGAATAAGAAGCATTAGAGTAGCAAGCAATAATCCAGTCAATAAGAGAAGTAGGGAGATCAAGAGCCTTAAGGATAATAGGAATAATACCCCAGTGAACTGAATCAAAGGCTTTTTGAAGATCTATCTTGATTGCACACCTAGGAGAGATGTTTTTTCTCCCATACCCTTTCACAATATCTTGAGCAAGGAGAGTATTATCAACAATACTTCTCCCTTTAACAAAGGCAGATTGATTAGGGGAGATCATCTGTGGGAGAAAAAAATTGATTCTCTTGACAATAATCTTAGTGATAGCCTTGTAGATGACAGAGCAGCAAGAGATTGGGCGATAATCCGAAACTTTGTTAGGGTTAGGAATTTTGGGAACTAAGGCAATGGAAGTTGCATTGAAAGCAGGATAAATAAAAAACTCTTTGAAGAAGAACTTAATGGCTTCAATCACTTCTTCACCAATCACAGGCCAAGCTTTCTTGAAGAAAAGAGGCGTGTAACCATCGGGTCCTGGGGCCTAATCGTTACCTTGGCTATAAATAGCTTCATAAATCTCTTGGGAAGTGACTTCATTAGTAATTCCTTGATAGTTATCACTTATATGAATAGGATTAAGCAGGTCTTTGAGTAAGCTAACAGAACATTTAGTGACATTCGAATCGGTTGAGCCAAGGAGGTTTTTGAAAAAATTAATAAACTCAGCGGACATGTCTTCGACGGTGTCTAATCTACTTCCTTGATCATCAATAATAGCTTTAATGGTGTCTTTTTTATTCTTTGTAGCAATAGCAGAATTGAAGAACTTAGAGTTTTTGTCCCCCTCTTTGAGTCAATGAGTTTTAGCTTTTTGCTTTAAGAACATCGCCTCAGCTTCTTCTAAAGCATTTAAATCCCTTTGCAACTTGAGTTCCTTTTCAATGGGCTCTAAACCTCTTAAAGAAAGTAGTTGCTGCTTTTCAATCTATTCCTGTTTTTCCCTAACCCTAGCAGAAATATCACTGAAAGATTCCTTGTTGAGTTGCTTAAGATTGGATTTAAGTCTTTTAAGCTTAAGGAAGAGCTTCTTCATAGGGTTTCCTTGACAAGGAGGGTACCAATATTGACTGAAAATATTCAAGAAGTTATGATGAAGAGTCCAACAATTGAAAAATTTAAAAGGCTTAGGTTTGTTAAGATGCATCTCTTTTTTCAGATTCACCAAAGCCAAGTAATGGTTAGAAGATCCAGGAGCTAGGAATTCAGCAAATGAATGGTTAAAAAATTCAAACCATAAAGGGTTTATGAGAAAACGATCAAGTTTCCTAGCAAGGAAGTTTTCAGTTTGCTTATTGCTCCAAGAGAAAGTTGGACCAAAGTAAGGATGATCTTGAAGATGGAGTTCATGAGAAACTTCTTAAAAATCAATCATTTCAGAGGAAAAAAACAAACCCAACTGTTCATGATTAGAACTTTCTTGAGGGTACATGGTGACATTAAAATCCCCTCCCAAGATCCAAGGATGATTAGAATACCTTGATTCAATGAGTCGAAGGTCCTGCCAAAGACTTCTTCTAGCTACTCCATCATTATGACCATAAATCCCAGTGAGCAGAAACTTGGAATTGTTGAAAGAACATTCAATAGTAATGGTTTGAACTGAAGCATAGCAAAGTGTGATGTCTAAACCTTTCTTCCACATAAGCCAAATTCTACCTTTTACAGCAAAGTCATAATTACAAAAGACATTACAATTCTTGAATTTGGAAGCAAAAATATCAGCAGATTTTTCAGCCTTAACTCTGGTTTCCAGTAAGCAAAAGATATCTACATTATTTTGGGTTGCCCTTCTAAGGACACTACTCTGTTTTAGGGGATTGTTCAATCCCCTAACATTCCAAAAAGCTACATTCATTTCTCTGGTGTTGAGGAGGATGTATCCCCCTTTTTACTAACCACTGACAGACTTTTCACCTTATCAAGATGAGATTTCTTTTTAGATTTAAGGTCTTTTAACAGTTCTGCTACACCTGATGCTGCCACTCTTGGTTATTTCCCCATGGTTTCTGAGGCTTGGGTAGTCTCTTCAACCAAAAGGATCTCAAAACAGTTACTTGAATCGGCTAAAGATTTGGCCAATTTGCCTTTAGGTGGCCTTCCTATACTCTTTTTAATAGGAGATTTAGAACCTTTATTTGAATCAGGTTAAGTAGTAGAGACACAAGCAAGATCATTTTCAATTTCCATACTAGATGGTAAGGAAGATGGATGAGAGTCTTCTACTGGAATAGTATAATAAGAGGTAGTAATAGGAAGAGGAGGTGGAATAAAATTTGCCAGCAACATTTTCCTTAACAGAGACAGAATCCACCTCATTTGAAGAAGCTAAGTTATTGTTTCCTGAAGAATCAGAGGTTGAAGGATCCTTTTTCCTCCATACTTGAGTTGTATGGGAGGAGTTTGGATTGTTTTTATAGTTTTTAGAACTATGAGCAAAAGAATTACAAGGCTTGCAACATGGGGGAAGCCAAGGAATTTCTACTAAAATAGAAGTTTCTTGGCCATTGTTAAGCACAACATCAATAAATTTAGGAATCACATCAGACACCCCTATTTCAACACAGACTTTGGAAAATTCCAATCTAGTTTTAGTGGTTGTGACAGATTCCATTGACAAAGGAAACCCTATGGCGCTAGCAATGTAACTCAAACCATCATTAGTGAATAATTCAAGTGGCACATTGTATAAATGAACCCAAATTGAAATTCTGGTTAGGTCAAAATGAAGTTTTTTCAAGTTGGGTTCCCATTGCCTAAGGATCAAAGGCTTATTATAGATGTACCAGGGACCATTTTCTAATACCCAGTCACGAGCAGAATCAGAATCGAATGAAAACAGATAAAGATTTGGTCCAGCATAACTGACCTGAACGTTAGAACCTTGTTGTGAATTTTTCCATAAACTGATGATGATCATTTTCATTGCTGCAAAATTCGGAGCTGCACCCAGAAATTGACCCACAAGAGAGTATTTCCAATCAGGGATTCCTCCTTCAAACACTTCTGGTGGAGGATACCGTTCGAACGCCGTTTTTCTCATTTGGGGGAAAATAGTTGAGTTGTTGGTTTGTTGAAGACTGGATTAATTTCTGACAATCCATGAAAAGGAGAAAACCGAACAAGAGAAGACAGAAAAGAAGAAAGAGAGAACTGAACAAGTCACCGAAACACAATAAAAATCTCAGAACCCATTAGACCCGCTAATGGACGCTCGGAGAACCCTGGAATCATGCGATGCCATTAAAAATTCAGGATGATAAATTGAGACTATTTTGTATGTTTACTATAACATTTTGATAATATATTTAGTATCATTCAACTATTATTTTGTATGTTTACTGTAATACTTTGCAATTTTTTCATTGATTAATTTGGTGCTTACTAATAATATTAATTCATGTATCATATAATATATAAAATGATAGTTCAAGTACGATGTGTACTAAGATCATCTCTAGCGCATCGCTAAAGTAGAGAAAATCTCCACTTTGGAGATGAATTTCAACTCCAACCCATCTCCACTTTCAACGCTAGAGTAGAGAAAAACTACAGTGATACTGTACATCTAGAGTTGCACTGTAGCTGCGCTACATATTATTTTATTATTGTTATTTTTTTATTTTTGGTTTTTGTTATTTTCTTTTTCTTTTCCTTTTCTTTGTTACATTATTTTTCTCTTATTCTATCTTTTATGTTTTTTTATTGTGATTTCTACACAATAAAATAAAAATTAAACATAATATAATAAATTCAAGTAGATTAAATTGCAAGATAGATAAAAATACATTGAAATTAGATAAATAAACATACTAATATTTAAATATTATGAATAAAGTAGAGTTGGTGGTAATGTAGAGATAGTGTTGGAGATGAATTACTGTTTCATCTTTAGAGTCGAGATAGAGATGCTGTAGAGTAGAGATGAGGGCTGCAGATGGCCTAATCGATGGTACAATTAAGTTATGACAACTATAAAAGATTATCACATCTTATTTCAGTGAAGAGTTGCATTTGGCACTTTTACGACGGATTACCTATTTAAGGTGACAAACGATGTTCTCTATTGAGAATAAGAGCAGAAGAAATGAGAAGAATTGAAGTCTCCCTCAATTTTCCATGAGGGATTTTAAAATGGTCCTTAGCGTTAGTGTCATACTTAAGATTATTATGACTATTTGTAGGTTGATAGGACATATTGATATGATCGTCTAACAATGAATTTGGCTCTGAGATCTACGCGACTATAAAAAATATGACTGGTTGGAGGATAAGAATCTCTAAAAGATTCAGTCAACATAGAGGTTTCAATATGTTGAGACGAGGCAACAGATGCACAACTTACGGAGAAGAGATATGGAGAAAGTAAATCGAACTAATGGTATTAACTCATATTTTATAATAATACGTAAAGTGATGATTCAAATAACATATTAGACACATTGATGAAGTATAAGCACCATATTAAATATTTTAAAAATGCATATTTGATCAAAGAACGAATGCATTGGATATTTTAAAAATATATATACGATATTGTCGGAATCGTCTTTCGGTTGGGCCCCGAATTGGGCTTCGACTTGGATTAAATGAATTGGAGTCGCCACCGACCACTATAAAACTAATTTAGGTGGGTCGAACACCATCTTACTTGATCTGCGTTGTACCAGAAACGTGTCGGGTTCGGGGGTCGATTACGGTCAAGGAAGGATTAACAACCCTTGAACCGCCCTTTCGGTACCAATTAATTTATCGGTTGCCTTTAATTACGAAAATTTAAATTTAAATTTAAATATAAATTACTCGATTCAAATTACTTACCTTTGATCGATTGAAATTATCCCTAAAAAGTTAAAAACTATTAGATGATATATAAACGATAATTAAAAATAATAATAAAATAAATGGAATAGAGATGAAATAAAAAGAGAAAAAATGGATAAATAAATGAAGAATCAAAACAAAAATAGAATAAATAAAAAGGCTAAATATAAAGAAAAGATCGAAAAAATATTTTAAAAATATTAAAAAAACCCAAAAAAACAAATAAAATAAAAGAAAGATCAAAATGCCAAAATTTAAATAGAAGTGTCTAAGTCAAAAAAAAAAAATAAGAAAGAAAAATAATGACTAAAACAGAGGATACACAAACCTAGGGGTTAAATTCAGGTAATAACACAAAGAGAAAAAAAAAAACATGACTAAAATAATAATTACTAAAACTAATAGCTTAAATTAAAATAACATAAGACTTCATTTCATGAATTCCATAGTAGGAATACAAATACCGAGGGACCTGTAATGAATTTAGCCTATACCAAAAATACGCAAACAGTCCTTGGGAAAACGACGTCGTTTCCCGTGGACTATAAAAGCCTAAAGATAGGCTTATTCCCCCATTCTCTCTTCATTTGCATTTTTCCTCCTCTCTCTCTAAGAAAGAGAGAACAAATTTTCCTCTCCATTTTCTCTAAAATGCCTCCACCGGAGGTAATGGCCGGCCACCGCCGACCGCCGCCCGACGCCGCCATCTCCGACGGCCGGGAAAAACCCAGACCCACTGAAACGCTCCCTACAACACCCTTAAACCAAAACCGAGCCCCACATCCCCTAAAAACAACTCCTCCGACGTAGATCTAAAAGAAAAGTTTTGACTTTTTTACCTTTTCCACTGGTGACCGTTCGTTTTTCGATGAGAGGCCTTCGACCGCTTCTATGTTACTGCTTTTGGGTTTTTTTTATATTGTATTTGGTTTTTTGATGTTGTAATGGCTTGTGGTTCGATTTTTTTGTTTGCTGTGTTTGGGTTCTGTTGTGACTCGTGTGATGATATGGCCATGGGTTATGGCTCGAAGATTCTGTTATTGTTGCGTCTTTTGGTTCTGTGTTGATACTTTTGATGTTCGACTGTTGTTTTCTCGTCGTTTATCTCTGTTGTGACCGATTCTTGGGTTTGATCATTGATTCCCCCCATTGATGGTTCTGTTGGTATTTATATAGCCCCCTAACAGGGCTGTTTCCGGTGATGACGGGGTCATTCCCGTACCTTTCGAGCCTAATGTTATTCGTGGTTAGCCGACCATCCCGGGATGGGTAAGTCCTGGGATATCCGGCCGGCCGTTTTGGTGACACAGTTGAATGGCCTTGTTGCCCTCCCATGCGGCGCAGTGCTGTGAGACATGTTACCTTAGAGTTTCCCAAACCCTAAGGATATTGGGCTGGTTCAGGCCCAACTGTTTGACCTGTGCACTGGACTGGATTCTTGGACCTGGATAAACATCGAAAAAAATGATTAAATAAATAATAAAAAAAAGTAAATAATAATTAAAAAGAATAAAATACTATATGATATATAACGAAAAAAGTTTTAAAACTTTATATAACATATATTTCAAAGATATTTTCAAAACCATTTATTTTATATAATTTTAAAAATGTTTTCAAACTATATGTTATAGTTTTCAAAAACGTTTTAAAACTATATTATATGTTTCAAAAATGTTTTTAAAGACTATATATTATATAAATTTCAAAATGATCTTAAAACTATATATTATATAAGCTTTCAAAATGGTTTTAAAAATTATATATTATATATGCTTTCTAAAAATGTTTTAAAAATTACATATTATATAGGTTTCAAAGGTATTTTTTTAAAACTATATATTATATACATTTCCAAAATGTTTTTTTTAAAAAATCATATATTATATACGTATTTCAAAAACTATTTTGTGAACTATATAATATATATGTATAGATATATATATGTATAAAAGAAAAGAAAATAAAATAAATATGGACGAAAATGAGTGTCTACAGATGCCCCTCTTTGTCTTTTTTCGTAGAACAAAAAATATGACAAAGATAAAAAGACACAAATTTTCGTTAGGTAGAGTTCAAGAACAACTCCTTGTCGAATTGAATTGCAGATGGCCCCTCATGTCGGTTGAGGTGTAGCTTATCATTACTGAGTTAAGCAACCACTATCGTTCTTTAAAGGCGCTTGCGAATCGAGTATCCTTCGTCCTGAAGTCGAAACTTGACTCTAAAAGCTACAAAAAATCATGTATGCTAAAATGATGAATGTGATGCACCTAAGTATGGCTAAGATGCATGTAACATGAATGAATTATATGTTATCTCCTGGATGGAGTCTCGTGCTTTGTCTGTCAATCTGGTCCTTGGAATCGATCGTGCCCCAATCTCCTTTCAAGTTTTGGCTTTACAGACCTTTCATGTCTGAGACTGTTCTGTTTGAAAATGTTTTTCTCATTTTTCTTGTTTAAGGAGAGAAAATGATAAAAATTCTGGAAAATATTATTCCTTAATTCAGGCTCGCAATTGAATCAACTTATAAACACGAGTTCAAAGTATATCAAAGGAATCGATAACTCTTTTAATGCTTTTAGAGTTATAGCTTTTTAACAAATGTTCGAATGGATGAGTTGTCTTTAGGTTGACCTAAGGTTTCAGCCATAAAAGGGTCATTTTTTCGGTTATTGCAATAGACTTTTCTTTGGTTTGGCATTTTAATTTGATGCGGACAAAATGACGCAGCTAGCCTGATCAATTACTAGACCTTCTATTTCAGTCCTCTGAAATCTTCCATTTGTTCAAGTTCTGTAAGCTCTTCTACTTCTAATAAAGGTAGTGTAGAAATATCGGTCTAAAAATGAAATTCTTGAGTGCTCGTGTGTATTTGACTATAACAGGTGTTCCTTAGCTCCCTTAGTCCATTTTACTGAAACTCCTTATTTAAATTTTCCATTAAAAGGCTAGCTGAATCCATAAAGTCGGGGCGTTTAACCAATTGCTCTAGAGAGACAACTTAATATATAAACACCTTTATCAGGTTAGCTGAATCTTATCCATAAAGTCGGGGCGTTTAACCAATTGTCTTAGAGGGACAACTCAAGCTTTATTGTATAATTACCTTTATCAGGCTAGCTGAATATTATCCATAAAGCCGGGGTGTTTAACCAATTGCTCTAGAGGGACAACTCAAGCTTTATTGTATATATATATAATATTATAATCTGG